ATAGCAGTGGTTGCCTTCGAAATTGATTTGCGACAAGGATGCAGCAGACTGGACCTCAATTATTGTCCTCATTCATTTGTGGGGCATGCCTATACAAACCTCTAATTGAAATCTAACTTAATTTATGGCCCAGCTACACAAACATTACAAATATTTGGCCAGGAGGAGACGGTCCTGCTTTAATTGGAAATGCCAGGACAGGGCCCGCAGCATATGGGCTGGGCATGGGTATGGGTGGGCCATCAAAGTCGACTTTAACGCATGACCTGCCAGATCAGAGCCACTGGAGCGGCAGTAATTCATAATAATACGAGTTATGTATACATTAAATCCAGTAATTTATTGATTTTTCATATGAGAATTCACCACACATCCGGACAATAGATGGGGGAACAGCAGTGAGAATGGGAATGAGAATGGGGATGGGGATGACTTCCGCTTTGTTTGCCTCAGATCTCAGATGTCAATAAAAATATGTGCGGCCACAGTCCAAGGAACTTCATCATCATCTCCAGTCGTCTGCATCATCATCATCGATGGGCCAATACGGAGTGCCGAATCAAAGATGAATGCGTGACCCAAGCAAAAGTTGTGATTGGAATGAATTAAGGGAACCCAGGCCCAGGCCTGGCTCCATCACGCGGCCATCTCTGAGGCCCACAGCTGAGTGATTGACATGACCGCAGGGGGTCGGTCGGTCTGTCGGTCGGTCGAAGGCAGCCAGGACATCGTCCTAATGGCCCATTGACAATTATGGCGCTACTAAATCTTGTCGAAAGAGAGCGTGTCAGGGGGGAGGGGGTCTTGGCAAACATGCCCCCTGTCATATGCACAAACGTTGTCCAACCAAAGCCGACTTCAACTTTAGTTTGCTTCTCTTTGTTTGTCTTTGATGGGGATCGAAGTGCGGAGTGCGGAGTGTGGGTTCCCGGCTGTGGTTGTGGTCACTGTGGAAGGGGATGTGGTGGAGGCTGGAGGTGGAGGCTGGGCTCTTGGATCTTGCATATTATTCAATTAAAATCGCACTACTATTAAGCTTGTACGGACAACTGTCAGCAGCACGCATGCAATCAATGTCAACACGAACAGGGGCATACAAACGAGTTTACTGCAGATGAGGCAAAGGATATATGCCCCGACACACACACACACACACACACAGACACACACACTTGCACACACATAAACGAATGTGTGAGTGAGGAAGAAGAGCCACAGTTTTTGGTGGGTGTACGTTAATAGAACTTAGACTCGCATAAATGTCAGCTACGAGATTGGATAGCCCCGGGCTACAACTAAGTCTCTGCATATGCGTGTCTGAAGTGTTTTCCCCTGGGGGAGGGGACTCTCGACTCTCTCTGCCCCCCCCAAAAACAGGCAGCAACCAGGGAGACAGACATAGTCGATGTGGCGACTAGAAGATACCCACTACACCGGGAACTGTCCAGCTAATGCAAATATTTACAGGTTTGCAGGAGGATGATTTGTTGGTTGAAGAAGGAGTAATCACACGATGTGGAGGGAGAAGGCTGGCAGCGATATATACACACATATGTGTGTTAGTTATCAAGTGTTCTTTTTGGGGTTTTGCTATCGAAAAGCGATAGGGAAACAGGTTGCGGTAACAGACTGTTAACAGACGTGCGGTGCTAACAGTTCTGTTAAGCTGTTCCAGCTGCTGGCCTGTACAACGGAAATCTCTTTCTTTCGATCTGTAAGTCTTCGAAATCCGAGAATTCTGGAAGGGAAAAGTACAGACTCTAATAAAAGAAAAAAGAATATACCTTTCGTGCTGCACACGGTATACTCAAGTACCGGGCATAAAAATTGGACGAGCTGTGCCAGCTTTAAATTTATGTGCAACAGTGGAGGCTGCTTAAAGCGGAGCTTGCACTGGGGCTGTGCGAGTTCCGCCAGTGGCCAAAGTTCACTGTGGCTCAGGTTTTCTCCAGCGTCGTGTTTTCAAGCATCCCGAGCAAATTAAGACAGAGCAACACAACAGGGGCCACACTGCCACACGCCCCTTGTGGCTTGCTACTTCGGTGGTGCCGTGCCTCATCTGGCAGCACGACCTCGTAGAAAGTTTTCGTCTGTTGTGTTGTGTGTGCCCCACGAAAGTTACCCAAATGCCAAGGAGGAAAACCTGAAAGAAGACGAAAAAAGAAAAAAGAAAAAGAAAACTGTTGCCCCCAATGAACTTTTGCATAAGATGTTTGAGAATACGAGTGGAGGATGCGATGGGGGCACGGCCACTGTCAGTGGCGTTAAGTGGCGCCCAGCCAAGACGCAGCATCAGCAGTTGGTTGCCGTTGCCGTTGCCAGCCCCTATCTCTGCCACATCCAATACTCATTCCCAGTCCCTCCCAGCTGGCCTGCTGGGGCGCAGATAGCGTGCAGAGAGTGAGGGAGAGCTGGGGGCTGGGGGACCTCTTGGAGTAGGTACATGGAGTAGGAGCCGCGGAGACGACCATTCGTTGCCCATCCGCCATGTAGCCTTATTTTTACGGCTATCGTTTCAATTTTTATGGCTTAAGTTGTTGTAAATTTAGTTGGAAGTAGAGTTGCGCTCCGGCGCTCTCCCCCTCCCTCATTCCCTGTGGACGGGCAGCTCGAAGGCTCTTCAATGGGGCACAACAGTGTGGTGCCCCAGCGTGGAATCGATATCCTCTAGCTATCCGCAGTGACCCACTCCGGCTGCGTGTCAGTGCGGACGGCGTCTGCTGTCCTATTAGCCGTCAAGCGGAAAATTTAATACTGTTTATTTACACAATTTCCCAGTTAGCCCCCCCTAGCCACGGCTTCACAGTTACCTAACGTTGTCTCTCTGTCCGTCTTACTGTTTGTCCGACTGTCCGTCTGTCTGTCTGGCAGTGTTTTTTCTGGGTCTGCTTTTTGCTTGAACGTTGCGTAATTTTGCTTCTCTTTTGCTTTAAATAACTCTGTCTCCCTCTTACACTCTCTTTGTGGCTGTGGCAACCACACGCACTCCCACTCCCACTCACACTCCCAATTACATTCGCACTTTGTGTGAAAAATACGAGTTAACAGTACATTTGGCGTAGAATTTATGCGCCGATAAAGGCGGAAGGTAACCCCGACACGTCACGCCCACAGCTACCAAAGCCGCCTCCACATCCGCCCAGGCGCTGCCCCGCCTGTGTGCGGTCCTGTGCGTGGCATACAATTACGCATTGCGTATTTTATTCAATTTGCAACACCTGGAAACACCTTCAGCACAGCCTGCTTAGCACCCCCACGATGTAAGGATATAAGGTATCCCCGATTCTTCAATCAGCCCTGGTGATGGGAGAACTGAAAAGGTCAGAAATCTGATCAGATATTCCCCTTCAATGGAGGAGGTGGATTAACCAAAAGAAGGCATTGGATGAAGAGATTCCAATTGGATTACACTTCCAGGTACTCCTTGGAAACGGGACTAATGTATGTTTGGGTACTGGTACTTGGTACTTGGTGTGGTAAGGTTTGCTTGGAATCCTGGTTACCTTTTTCTGTCGGAGGAAACCAAAAGAGAGAGATTTCCCTGCTCCATCCCTCAAGAATATTCTCAGCTAGAAAAAACAAATCCCCATTTCTACAGGCAACCAATTTATTCATAAATTATTTCAAACGGATAAAATGGTTACAAAAATAAAATGATTTATTTTTATATAAAGGCAAAAGATAGCCAAGAATAGTCCCAGAAGTTCAGACAGTGGGTAAACATTGCTATCATTTTGTGGCCAACTTGTTTTAGAAAGTTTCTCAATGTGCGTTCTCTTCAATGGGTTAAAGCTTGAGCCTTTTATTGCTATTTCATTTATTTATTTGCTATCGCCCTTCGTGCTCGCTGCATTTATTCGAGTAATTTTGTCTGGGTCATGAATAACAGACGACTCTGCCGCTTCGGCACCAGCGATGCGATGTGCACTACGAATGCAAATGGAGAACTGGAAAAAAAAGCGATGGGATTTGTGGAGGAAGGCGGAAGCTAAGCTGCAAGTCTGTGCTGACTATGGGGCAGAGAAGGCGGAAAAGTGTGGATATTTTTGCATCCGTTGGTACCTCGTGGAGAGCGGCGGTTTATCGTATGAGTAGATTATAATACTGGTAGATATATATAATTGTTTTGAATACTCGTACTTGGATCTCCACAACATAGAGAGACTTCCCGAAGAACCTTTCTAGTACCAGTAATGCAAGAAATCCTTTAGGCGCTTTCCACGGTACCTTGTGATTCGAAATCTCGCATATGCATATGGTGTTTTATTCCCACTTGTTGTGCCATACAATTTATGCGAAATCACGTATGCCAGAGCATAACAAATCAGGCACAATACCCGTACTATAAATAATGCAACAGCCGAAATGCAATGCTATGCGATTGCGGCATCCACACATAGGAGACACACTAAGAATTCTCTCTCTCTCTCTCTCTCTCTCTATCGCTCGCTCTTTTTGATGGAAGCTTAAAATAAACAGTGAATTTGTAGGCAGTCGGACAGGTGGGGAGAGGAGGGTTGACTAGGCAAACACAGTATCTACAGCTGCTTCTCCCATTTGGCTACACACCCCACCCCAGCCATGTCCATGTCATTGACTGCTGTCAGCCGAAGGCTCTTTGCTGCCAGACCGAGATGGAGACAGAAACGGAGACGGCGCACTCTGACCCATTTCTATGTGAACCCTGCACAAGCGTTAATCTTTTTTATGTTCAGTACCATCCTGGGTCGCTGCGATTCAATATAAGATATTTTTCAATGGAGCACAAGAGTGGGTTAGGAGGGGAGTAGGCTGTGGAGGGCCTTCATTTCGGCTGTCATTTGGCCCTGAGTGGCACTCCGAGTTAGCTTTATTGGGTTCCTCAGCTGTCGGCATATGTGGAGTCTATTTCGATAGTTGCCATAGGAAACCCGACACCCAAACTTCATGGCCATCGATCCGATACTTTCTAATAATCCCATGATTGAACCCCATTTTAACCAGTCTTTTTCTCTTTGCAGAGTACACATACGAGTACGAGTACGAGGGCGAGACAGGGCCACAAGGTGAGTCTGGGCGTCTGTAAATTTGACTATAGTGGCATTTGGCATTTGGGAGTTGGGAGTTGGGATCTCGAACCTCAAGAGCACATTCCACTCGAGCGAAGCGCAAGAAAAATTTGACTCTAGATTAGGCCATAAAAATACGCATTAAGCTGTCTGGAAGAGATAACTTCATATGAATTTATTGACATTTCGGTTGGTCAGTCCCACTCGTCCAGTCGTCCACTCGTCCAGCTGTCCACTTGTTTGCCCTCAGAACGATTCGTTGGTCCGGTCAACAGAGCATGAAAAGGCCAACATCCGTTGTGGCTAATGTGCCTGTGGGCAGGATGTTATGATGGGTGGACGAAGGGGGAGCAGAAGGGTCCTTTGTGTGAATGCGGCGAATGAGAAATACATAAATAAATTAGTTACGTGCCTGGCAGAACCCCCCGGAAACCACATCTGTATAGCTGTGTAGCTTTTTTGATCAACTTCTTTGCTCGGAATATGAAAGGGAAATATGTTTTTGGAAAAGTACTGTCGTACCTTGAGGGACAATTGTGATGGGTTAAGCTGCTCAATAGTTGCCACGGACTGTCTCCCTCACTTACATACATAGATACTCCCCAAATGGCATGGGCTGATTTATGGATAGAGATCCTTTATGCAGAGTTTAAATCACAAGCTCGGACACCGCTTAACTTTGCGGTTGTGCTTCATAAATTTTGTTTATTCATTTGTTTTGCTGTCTGGTCTGTCCTTGCCGGGCATGGCCTTTGCTGTGGTCCACAATTTTTTACCTCTAGAAATGTTCTATTTTTTTTCGTCCGTTGGTCAATTATTCAGACCGAAATGAAACGCTTGTGGTTTGCACACAGGCTACAAAAAGGCAGCAGCAGTAGAATGGCCTGGTGGGTTGGGTGTGGGTCTCTGGGAACTAGAGCATTTAAATGGAACGAGAGAGCACTGCATCCAGGCAGGGAGGGACTGGGACTGGGTCCACGCCCAACGAGACGTGTGACTGTTGACGGGCTTGTGTAAATTGCATAAACTTGGTAAATGTGCAAAAAGTGTTGCTACAGCTACAGCTACAACTACAGCCACTCCCTCAACAGGTGGGGAGATGAGGAGATTGCCGGCACTGCGCCAGTCAGTCCTTCAGTTCATTATGTGGCCAGCACTGTTTACCCAGTGGCCTGCTCCTCTTACTCTCGTGCTGTGGTGACAGTCAGTCATTGGGCTGGTCACTCGACTGCAGTGCCAAGTCCTCAGTCCTCAGGCAGCCTGTTCGCATCCTGTGGCCACATCCTGTCGGCGGCACGCCAGCCTCAGTGCCATCCCAGACTGAATGACGAGAGCGAGCAACCATTGTGTTTGGCTGGCAGCAGCACTAGCATTCATATGACTTCTCACAGACACAAGGCATTATGACGCCCGGACAGAGCTTCTCTGGAGTGTGTCGAGAAGAAATCAAGCGTAATGAAGCCCCAGCCTCAGCCCCAAACTGGGGCCCGGGCAGACAAAGGTTTACTTAGGCGATGTTCTGTTTGGTTCTTGTCTGTTTTGCTCCTCTGCCCATTGGAAATTCAACCAAATGATAACAGATAAGCCGCTTGACACTAACACGCTTAGGCACTCAAGGGTTGCTTTAGTTTAGCCCTGTTCCACCTTCTGATAGGTGGGACAGCCACCACACTCCCCAACGACCGACTGCCCCCCAATTAGTGGGAAACTGCCATGTAATGCCTCGGAATTAGGAAATACATATAATTGGAGTATTCCTGGGAAAAGGCATTACAAGACAGTTTGCTCAAATAGACTGGGAACCGAGACCTGCTGCTGGTATTACTTCTGCTGCATTTCGAGTGATATTTTCCGGGGAAAGCTGCTCTGTGAAATTCCATATTTTTTGCTGTGAGTTACGCCCAAGTTCTGTGTTCAAGGCACACTCAAAAGTTGCCTTGAAAAGTTTCTGAATACTGTAAACTACTGCTCGCAAATGCGACCAATCTTCCAAATGACAGTTTAGCCAACACTTTTAGCCCTCCCCTCCCCAGCCCAGTGTAGCTCTTAGCCGTCCTCGCCTTGGTCAGCTTTACCTTTAATGGGCATAAATGTTTACCATTTACCGTCGTGTGCCATTAAATAAACTATCGCAGAGGTGTGGGCGTGGTAAATTGGTTCGATTGGGTGGTTGTAAGTTTTACAGAGTAAACAAACAGGCGCGAAAGAACAGAAAGGGAAGGACGAACTTTTGATACTCTCACAGATCCATCAGATCCCTCTTTATGGGTATATGCAGACAACAATGAAAATCACGAGCTAATTGGCAAATTTTAAGCGCTACCTTTTAGGCAAACATCGACAAGGCAACCAACGACGAACGACCTCAAAGGCAAGACATGGGAGACATGGTAAGAAATGGCTGCAGGAAATCATGTGACGTGAGGCTTTTGTTTGTTTTGTTTGTTTCTTTGGCTAATGCTGTTGTTGTTGTTGCTGTTGCTGCTGTTGCTGTTGCCCGCAGCTGTCCACAGCAGCGTTTCAGGGTTAAGGGAAGTTGTTGTTGTTGCTGCTGTTGGCTTTTGCTGCTTTTCTGTTCTGTTCTTGCCACAGCAACATCATTGAAATTGACTTCATTATTATTTTATAGTCTTGGCCTGGTCTCTGGCCTTAAGTTTTGCTGTGCTGTGCTCTGCTTTGACTCCAGCATGGTTATGGTTCTGGTTCTGGTTTTCCTTTTCTTTTTATGGCTTTTTATCAAATCTTACATTGTGGTGCTTGTGGCACGTTCTACACTGATGGCCATGTATCCCCATCCCACTCACTGGCAGTGCTTATTAAAACCCGGGCACCGGGCTGCTGAAACATCTCTATATGGCCAAGTTTATGCACATAAAGATATGTATCCTGGGTACATAAGGATATCCCGGGATGGCTGGGTGCTGCTTGGTTGGATGATGGCTGGAGCCTCAAGCAAAACTGATATAATGCATTTTACAGCACACAGTCAAGAGGGTGGCAGGGCCAAGAAAACTACATAAATGGTGGCACCATTAGCAGCCATTATATGTGAACTTTGATTACATCTGGAGTATCTACGCTAAGTAGTGGGGCAGCTGTGCTCAGAGTTGTGTGCTTATTCCAATTTTAATCTTGTTCATTCTGTATAGATTTAAACTTTTAATCGAAGGGACTTTGGTTCGGGCAGCAGCAGGATCGGACTGTCGTCTGCAGCTCGCTTCCCTGTGTCCTGTGTCTCAACAGACTTTAATTTCCTGAAATGTCCCTGGATGGGGGACAATTTTCGACTACCTCTTTGATGGTCACTCATCCGCCAGTACTCCAGCGCGGCACGGCGCGGCGCGTCGCTTTTCCGCTTACCGAGAAGCACTCGCTCAAGTGTCACTTGCCATTTGCCAGTCACTTGCACTGCTCCCATCCTCCCCCATCCACATTTACACACGGCTCGCTGTATTTCTTTTTCAGTTTTTGCCGCTTCGTCGAGGCATTATGTAAATTTTTTATCGCCATTTTTGCTGTATTTCCTTTTTATGTGTGAGCGGCGTTTTAGTTTTTGTATGTGCAAGTAGACAGCTTAAGTCAAATGCTCTTCACGGGCTCTACCGCTTCACCGTTCTACCGCTCTACCGTTCTCTCTTTTCTACCTTTCTGCCGCTCTTTGTCTTTGTTAGTTTACGAGCATTAACACTCATGGCACGACACTCGCACGAGTACGAATACGAGTACGAATCCGACGCGTACGGGTAGTACTCCCATTCCCATTCCTATTCCTACTTGTTCTTGTTTTTTTGGGTCAGTTTCGAAGCTCTTAGCGTTTTTCAAGTGGTTTTAGCGCACACTCGAAATAATTTTGTGTACGGAATTTGCTTGTGGCGGCGGGTCTGCTGCTATCAATGCGATTAAAAAACAATTACACTTGTGACATTAATGGCACCCAAATCGCAGATACATATACATACGAGTATGTACAGGTGTACCGAGTACGTATGTACATGGGTACATATTTTTTAGTTATATATAATTTACCTTTGCACATTTCGAGGGTGGGGCGGTCCCGTGTCTGTCTCTGCCTCTGCCTCTGTTTGTGGCATCTGCGCAAAAAAAGCGTCGATTTGTTTACTCTGCCAATGGCTGTTCGCCGGATAACCACATCGAAAATAAACACAAATCCAAAATTGATTTCCCAAAAATCAAAATAAACAAATTCCCTTTTTTGCGTGTGTTTAGTGTTGCGTTTCATTTCGTTTCGCTTCGGTTCGTTTTTGTTCCTTTTGGAGTTTCGAATACTCGGTATTTGGTGGGGTGAAGGGTCGTGAAAATTCGTGGAAATGTACATATGCAATAGCCAGTGGAAAGCATTGCATACCTCAGAAAATATTCGACAGGTCATGGCCGTCTGCATGAGAGACTTTTAATTGCTTAAAACAAACAAATCTGTTGATGAAAATCATCAGTTTCTTCATTCTTTAAATTAACTGCCAGGCCAATGGCGGAGGGGCAGGCTGGGGCACAGCAATCCTAATGGCCAGGCTAATGGCTGGTGGCCAACATCTTGTGGCATTATTAACATTATTGCCGCATGAGTCCCATGCCATCCCTCCTGCCACAGCCTACTCTCCTTTGAGAGCGTCAACAGCAGCAGCAGCATCAGGAGGAGACGGATCCATAAGCAAAAAAGGGAAAGCTTATCAATGAATCACCAAAGCATGTGATTGATGATTTGATGTGATGTCTGAATGTGTAGGTGTATCTGTCAGCGCATGTATGTGTGTGTGTGTGTATTAGTGTCGTTTCATTTGCCTCTTGAAGAGCGACACACACAGGCACACTGAGTGTGGCTTCTCTGACAAGGATTAGGTGCCCACGCAGAATCCAAGCAAATACCAGGAAAGACTGCGACTGTGTGGGTGGGTGGAAAATGGGGAAAATGACAGCACACATATGCATACGTGTGCGTGTGCGTGTACGTGTGTGTATTAGTCAGTCTAAGACAGATTAAAAGTGAAGAGCCCGCAAAAAGTTTGCCTTCGTCGAGTCTGGGGAGGATATACCCTAACTGGCATACGGATGGTATGACTATGTAGGCGGTCACTCGGAAGAGAATTATGGGCTGAGTTACGTTTGCTTTATTGCGAAATGTACACAGAAAATAAATCAATTGAGTGAACTATCCCTGGGGGGACATCAATGGCAATCTTTATTCTAATTCATCGAATAATCTGCTTTCAACAGCCGTTGATGCGCGACGGAAATAGCCGACACTTGCAGCAGGTGTCTCGATCTTTCATGGTCTTCAGCACAACGTCGGCCATGCGCAGGCGTTTTGAGGCAGTCTGCGGCCTTCGCTGCTTGGCCGCCGGTGGAGCAGGAGCCGATTCCTGCGAGGTCTGGCGACGAGCTTGGGCTGCCCGTTCCGCGAGCACCTGCCGCATGCGATGCGTGAGCCGGGGATTGGTGTGCAGCTCGGTGAGGGGTCGGTGGTTGAGCAGCTCCTGCCGCTTCTCCATCCTGATTCGCTTGAGCTGAAGTTTCTGCGAAATCACGGCCTCCTTCCGCTGCAGGTGGAGAGCGGACAGTTTCTGCTCAAAGGACGTCCGCGAGCGATTCGCAAAATACTGCACCCATTGGGCACGCGTGGCTGCCATGCTCTCGGGGGTTATTTGGGTTTTCGGCTCAAGCAGCGCCTCCTGCACAGAGCTGTTTGAGATGCTTGTCCTGAAGCGAGCCAGGTCTTCATCCATATCCAGTTGATCCAACAGACTGGCGAAGTTGCTCTCCATGATGGCCGTTAGATAGTTTCGCTGATCCACGGGCATCTCCTTGCAGAAGAGCTTCCACAGGGCGTTGGAGGGCTGCGCATCGTCCCCGTACTCCTCCAGCATCTGGCGATCCTCCTTGCCCTGGGACTTCCTCTTCTCCAGCAGCAGATCCCTGAACCGATGTATCTTCTGTCCCACCACTGTCCTGGCCAACCGCTCCACCTGCTGCTCGAAGTGCTCTCTGTGCATGACGAAGGCTACGTTCGACCTGCATGTGGGTTTCTCCACCTCCTCCATTCCCACAGCGTTGAGCAGAACCCGCTGCATCTGCTGAGTGTAGCGCGTCCTCAGCTGGTTCATCATCACCTCCGATCTGCGGCCGGCACTGACCAGTCGCTTGTGCCTGTCCACCAAATCGCTGAAGATCGCATCGACCAGCGGATACACCTTGAACAGATCCAGATCTGACTTGGGGGGAATGCTTTCCGGATGCACTGGTGGATGTCCGCTGCTGATACTTGTCTTGGACTTTCTGCTATTTTCCGAGTTCCTTTGATTGGACAGGCCCAACACCATGGGACTTATTCGCTTTAGTTTATATGCCGGGAGGGGTTTCTTGGGCGAAGTCCTGGCTATAAAGGGCCCATACTCAGAGATATGCAAGGTCTTGCCAGGACCGCAATACTTCCATTTCTTTGTCGATTCCTTTGCCAGCCCTCCCTTACCTGGACGACTCTCCTCTTGGTGCTCTCTCCATTGCAATGCGCTGGGAAATTCCTTTGCACTGATACTCGTAATTTTGAAATCTTTTCTAAAGTTCCAATGACTTTCCTGTCATGGGGCTCTGCCGCCGGGCAGGGCAGGGCAGGGCATTAACCAGTCAGTGATTTCTTCCAGCGACTGTTTGCCGACATCAACCGCCATCATCATCAGCAGCTGTTGGCTGTTGGCTGTTGGGTGTTTGGGGCTTCCGCCATTTGGTCGATTTGTTCGCTCGACGCGTCGGCAGCTTCAAAAGCCTCGCACTCGCACGTTCGTTCTCTTTTTCTTTCCTTTTAGCTGGCACTGTTGATTTTCACACGCACACACACACACACAGCATACAGTCATACACCCCTGCCACACCATGAATCTCTTTGTCCTAGACCAAACTGTTTACACATACGCGCGATTTTCTTTTAACAATTCATCAAATGCGCTAAGCGCGCACAAAAACTTTGACACTCGACGTTTTCTTTATTTGGGCAGGGGGAAACGGGCGAAAAGGGGCTGCGCACGGTGCCTTTCTGCCACCCCCTTTCTGCCGCCCCATGGCAGCCATATCAATCATCGCCCAAAGTGCGTGGCTGTTAGACACCTTTGCCGTGTGCCCCTCTGACTTTGTGTCTGTGCCTGTGCCTGTGCCTGTATCTGTGCCTGAGTGTGTTCATGTGAAGCTTTAAAATATTTATTATACCCGGTACCTGTGGGGTTCAAGGGTATGTTGTATGCAACGGTAGAGGTGAATGTATTACAGCTTGAATGGGGAAAAGTAAGTTCCAACGAGAAAGTCTGTCTTTTGCTTCCAGTAATTGTTTCAGATGTTCGTGCATTGAAGTACCAGGTATCTCCCTGTCGAGACACTCCGCCAAATCGTTTCTACTTGTTTTACTTTGCGCTTGTTGGCCGCGTTGAAGGCTAAATACAATAACTCAAAGTGATTTGCCGGGGCCGAAAGAGCCGGGCGGCGTTATTTGCATGTTACCCCACCCGTCCCCGTCACTGATGCTCTCCTTTGCCGCCTCAAGTGTGCATTATTTATTTGCTTTGCCTTTTCGCAATTTATTTTGCCAAATTTTCGAGTGAGAGGAATTCGTTGCTGACGTTGGCAATTAGTAACCGGGCATGAAAAAGCGAATATTAAAGGAACTCTTTGCAGACATCGACATCGGAAACGGTAGGTAGTCAAATGATTAAGTGCACGGCATAATCCAGACATTGCACATACGCACTGTGTGCGCGTGCACCGCAACATGCCTCCAGGCTTAACTATATTTATTTTCGCTCGCATTTGCCCTTCGCTTAATTAGTGTAAATAATTTGGAGGGCTTAAAAAGCTGAATTAAAATTAATTAGTTATTAAATGGCAATGCGAAAACGATAAGCCCTCACGTATGCGAGTCGAGTCGAGTGTGTATTTTAGTTGATTTATGTAAATTAATTAAATAAACACCTGTGGCCAGTGCAGTGCAGAGCAGAGCAGAGCAGTGGCATGCCACCACCACACCCATGAAGAGAAATTATCTAGTGAATTGGCCGTTGGACCCAATTAGTACTAGGCCCTGCCCTCTGCCCTGGGGGCATGGGAATCCGTTTCGTGATCTGGTCTAATTTGGAACAGTACCTAATTGCATTGCCCGAGCGTCGCCGGGGGCCCTGATTTATATTGGATGTCAACTGGAGTCCATAAATTCCCCGTGGAATGGTTTGCGTGGCAGTGGAGCATAGTCCTGTCCCTCAGAGAGTGGGTTAGTGCCTGACAGGTCCCTATGTCTGCGCGCTGCGCGCTGTGTAGGCAGTCAAGTGTGCGGATGATTTATTTTCATTAAAAACTTCTTTTGCGGCCACTTAAACATTAAACAGGCTCTGGGCCTCGCCGCTCTAGCCGCGCACTTCATAAAGAAGAAAAGTGGAAAAGTCCCACTCAGCGGAAAGTTGAAAGTAGAAAGCAGACGGCTGCCCAAGAGGCAGGCAAATTTTAATCTGCACATTACGAAGTTGTATAAGTGAAGTCCGTGCATCCATCCTTTCGCCATTCGCCTTTCACTTTCGCCGCTCACTCGAAAATGCAATCATTAATTTTTCTAGCTTAGGTTCGAGGCAAAGTTTCCTAGTAAGCAAAAGGAAAACGAAATGTAGAAATGTGAATGTAATTACGTTCGTTGAGCCCTCCACTCGGAGGGAGGCCTTTCTTGCTGAAATCTAAATTAATTTGTTTGCCTGTCCCCCCCCTACACCACCGGCAGAATACGTGCGTGAACTGCTTGCACTGCTTGCGAGGAGTACTCTCGGCTCCATTCTCAGAACCTTCCGATTCCGATTGTCCAAGTGGCAGTTTGCCATCGCATTGGCACGCGATCATTAGTCAGGGAACAGGAAATGCAACTGCTGGCGGACCTGACACTTGATGAAAGCTCAGTTCCGTCACACCCCTCCAGCGCATACCCTACAGGGATCCGCTCGGCCATTGGAGAGCCATTTCATTGATTGCCGGAGTGGTGGCCGATTGAAATTGCTTTCTAATCGTGTGCCGCCCATCTTCAGTACGAGGATAATGCAATTAGTAGTCTAGTCTGATTTAGTCCACGGTACGGAACAGTTTAGTCCAGTCCAGTCACATAACGAGTACCTCTGTCTCTGTCTCTGCGCTGCTCTGCTCTGAATGTTTTTTCCGTGTTTCCATTGCGTGTCCCGGTCACGGCAAAGGGCGTTGGCAAATTAAAAGTTCTCTTTCCATTATTTGGATTGCCTGCAGGAGCCAAAGTGAGTTTGATATAAATTAGTTTCTGCAGTCGCCTGGAGTCGCCTGAAGCCGCCTGGAGTCGTCTGCTAATTAGACATGGAAAAAGTTCTCCGAATTCTCACACCTAAAGGACAATCCACAAAAAGTTGCCCTAAGCTGCTGCCACTCCGCATTGTCCATTGTCCATTCTTTAGAGAAAGTTAAGTGTTGGGTCGGTATTCCTTTGCCATTCCATTCCTTTCCCTGGCTGCGACATAATTATGTGCCAGCAATTTGCATTGCGACCGGCACCACCAGCACAACAATAACCATAAAACGGCACAACAATTGGAGGGCTGGAAAGGCTGCAAACGTAAAAGAAAAACATGGAAAAGCACAGGCGGCAAAGGCAAAGGCAAACAAAAAGAACTGAACTCAACTCCGTTGTGCAGCAGTTATTTCAACACCTTTATGGCGGTTCTACATTTGTTGTCCCGGCCAGGCCACAAAGCACACACGCCGACCACCACAATGGGTTTCGTTCTGGCCAATGACCAAACAGTGGGTCTGCTCTGCTCTGCTTTGGTCTGGTCTGGTCTGGTCTGATGTGCATGAGGGCTAGACTGAAATGTTGGCTAGGGGACTGGGTGGCTAGACGCCTACCCATGGCACGGCAGGCAAAACAAATGGCGGGACAGCTACGTGGAAATACATTTACAAACCAAAGATAGAAATCTGGAGATAAGGCAAATTGCTGTGCTACAAAATCGTTAACTGTAATTTACCGCATTCGAAATGTTCTCCATTCTCCAGGAGTCGGACAGCAAAGCAGTCCTGCAGTGCAGTCCAGCAGTCCTGCAGTTATGAATGGTATCCTTTAAGGAAGGTCTGCTCAAGAGCTGTACGAGTATTGTGAAACTTAATCGGGTTTTTAGGGGAAAGTCTTTGGTCGAAAATTGCCTCAATTGTAATTGAGGCAGCGCTCTCTTCGAGGTGCATTTGCCCACAGGTGTAATAGGCTGCCACTTAGGTGAGTGGAATGGAAATGACTGCCGCAAATTATCTTTCCTTGTATCCACATTACTCATACGCACCATGGCCGCATTCGGCTAATTCATCCGAAGTGCAATCACCCGCAGACAAACACACTCGAGTCCGATTCCAAACTGAACGCATGCCAGTCAGAAGTCCGCATTTCTCTGGCAGCTACTGTTTCTGGTATCTGACTGTGTGTGCAACAAGTTTGCGGCATCGCTGTGTTCAGAGTGTCCGAGTGCCTGTCAAAAGTAATGAGACGCTCGACGAGTAGAGGCTACCCAGCGGCAACTTACATTTCCAATGAAGCAGACCAAAATTTTAAGTTTAATCGAATTTCCGAGTACTCTGGAGCACCCAAGACCTACCCTGAGGAAAGCTCTCTGCGAACGGTTCCTTCTCCGAATTTGGGAGCACAAAGCAATCCGTAGTAATCCGAGTGGGCGGTGCCCTTCGCCAGATCGGATCCCTTGTGATTTCGAGCATTCGAAATTCAGCTCCCTGGCAACAAGTATCAAATACACACAGTCCCAATTTGTTCAATTTTTGTCTGTGATTTTGGCCCAAAATAAAGTAAGAAAATGCCCCGTCAACGTTCAGATAAGTCCAGTGGATCGGCTCGTCGCCAGAGCTCCAGGAGCAGCACCAGCTGCACGATTCCCGTACCCAGCTCTCGTGCGAGCAGCAGCCGCTTGCCTGCGGTGCAACAGCCACGCAAAGAGGAGTCGACACCAGCTCCAACACCAGCTGCAGCAGCAGCGACAGCGCCAGCGGCGGAGGCAGCCTCCAAGGCACGTGGCACAGGCAACATGTTCAAAGACATGGCCACCACTGCGGCGGGCGTGGCAGCCGGATCAGCTGTGGGCCATGCCGTGGGCGCTGGCATTACTGGACTGTTCGGCGGTCGCGCCAAGTCGGCCGCCGCCAACCACCAGGGAGACCAGGCGGCGGCGCCGGTGACAGTGCAGGCGCAGGGCACCAGCGAACTGGTCGAAGATGCTCCCTGTACGTACGAGCTGCGGCAGTTCCTCAAGTGCACCGAGGAGAACAGCGACCTGACCGTCTGCCAAGGGTTCAACGAGGCCATGAAGGAGTGCCGCCGGCGCTACAACATTTAGGGGCGGAAAACAGAGGCAAAGGCAGATCCAAGACAGCAATCGCTCATAAGAAATAGCCACAAAATATTCTCTTTGAGTTAATTGCATTAAAAAATAGTTCCCAAATGCCGAATATACTTTTTGAGTATTAACTAAGTTACTGAGTGGCCCCCAAGAGTAAGTCAAAATATGCTTCAAAGAGGGAAAATTAATTGGCACTGAGTGTGGGTGGGGCAGGGGCAGGCATCAGCCAGGGCTGGCTCTCCTCTCGTCTCGTTGCTCTGGCCCGGCCCATCCATCTTGCCAGCCGAAACATTATTGATGTTGATTGATTTATAAACATTTCTGCGGCCCAGCAGGGGACGGACTGACTGAGTGAATGACTGGCTGATGGGGATGGGCGGAATGGGCCAATTAAGTGGTAGCCAAAACAATAAACAAAATGAAATTAGCATGCCGACTGATCCTGCTCCTGCTCCTCCCCAGAACCAAAGGAAGCATCAGCTGCTGTCGCAGCTATTCACATGGGCTCTGGTGTAAGCCACGGGCACAGCCACACAAAAATGACAGATAGACAGAACAGAAATTTTCAGCGAGCAAATATAATTTGCTTAAATATTCATAACAGAGTGAGTGGAAATTGTATACTGCTGATTAACATGGGCCCCAAATGGGGAAGATTTCCACCGAATTCCCCAGTCACCACGCCCCCCACTCCACACCACGCCCATCACATAGCATCAATCAAGCGGCATTTGCCGCAGTGTCGAGTCTGTTTGCCGCTTTTGTGGTTGGCAATAATTTAATGAAATATTCCGTTTGCCTCATGGACTGCGGAACAAGGAGCATCCAATTTGTGGCACCCCTCCTCCTCCTCCTCCTCCTCCTCCTCCTCCCCTTCCCAGAAAACCTAATGCGAATTATGCTTAAACATTTGACTGGCTGGCAGTGCCGGCTAATTGCTGCTCGATGTGTGGTTCAGTCGTCCTACGAAAGCCAAAAATAGTCAAGCCAAAGCACTTTTGCATGCTGGCTGGCAATTAAAGCATTTCCGCTGCACACGTACGTATGTAAATACTCGTACTCGTATGAGGACAAGTATTTGGTTTCCAAATACTCTACAAATACGCTTGAGAATTGGGTGCTGAGTGGAGTGCCGCGAGTCAAAAGCCAATGGAACCTAATCTTGACTCGGAAATACATTTATTTGTATTTTTTGTTATATTAAGTTACTTTCAACCCTGTGGAAACACATTTAATCTTGATTTATTTAGTTTATTCTAGATTTTGAAATATCAAGTGGGATTTATTTCCATACAAAGATAAGATTGCCTTTTCTATTCGAGATGCAGCTCCTGATGCGAGAGCTCAAGATTCGCATCTTATGCAAATTTTATTCTAATAAAATGTGCATATATAAGAGGTCATATAACATTTGTATGTATGTATATACTGGAAGCTAAAACCAAAGACTATACCAATAATAAAAAGCTGCATGTGGAACAAATGCCCATTCAATTTTCGTTGACGATACATACATATGTATGTATGTATGGTCCGGCGAACGGGGGATATTTCTTCAATTCTCTTTTAGGCTCTGAAATGCAACTGGCTTCGTCAATGCTAAAACTTTGGCGCGGCACAATGGGGACTCAGCCCAAAAGAGAATTTCCAGGGCTTTAAAAAATTTAATTTTAAAGATAATTTTATTTTATGAGATATAAGCACCCAAAGTTCAAATTGTTTCAGTGTGAGACATTTTGTTGAGCTCTTATCTGCAGATTAATTTAGCCAGCTAAAAAAGGCAAAGGGCCCACTGTGCGAAAGACATGCATGTGCATGCGCTGAGGCTGTCGTTGGGCAGCGGGTTCCCAGTGAGAGACGAAGCAAAGCCGAAAAGAGAATTGAAAGCCCGCGCGCTTCTCTCTGTCGATGAAGCGTAGCGATAAGCCTCGCCCTAGAACAGGTTTTTGGTCTCGCTCATGCAGCATCTTGTTTAAAGTTTGTTTTTTGGGTACGGAAGGTTCTTTGGCACAGCATATTTCGAAGGTATTCGCTTGAAGAACTCTTTAAATATGTAACTTAAAGATTGAAACCATTAAGATTGCCCCCAAGCAATGGTCTCCCAAGTTGTTTAGCAACTTCCTGTCCCACAATTAACTCGAAGAACCCTCCACTCTGCCGAAATCCAGGTGATTTCCCAGCGCATCTATGTATAAATTTGGGCTACCCTTAAAGTTACCTTAGGCGCATAAAGGACAGAGCATTTCCCTCATTTCCGCTCAGGGAAGTCCTTTGCGTTTCCATTATTTCAACGTTGTGTTTCGTAATTAGTGTGGAAAGCAAACGCGAAAGGAAAATCAAATTACAGTTATGATTTTTGTGTAATGCAAGTTCCTTGACGGTTCCTGCCACCAAGCATGCACTTTGCAATTAGCTTTGAGTCACTCGTTCCCTATGCCAATGCAATATAAATTAGCTGAAAAGGCTGCAGATCCTATGGGAAATATCATGTCATGTTCGTGTGATCGAGACTCCCTTTGGGAACTTGGCTGGATGTGTCGAGGCTTTCGCCACTGCCAACGCACAGGCATAGACGCTGGAAAATCGAATCGATACTTTGTGGTTGAGAGAGCCGTAAATTTACAGGTGAATTCCTCCTTTTAAGAGTATCTGCCGGTGGTTCAGTCCAACCAAAGTGAGTCCCTGTCAAAGGCAGCCCAGCCCAGCCCAGCCAGCTGCATTGTCGAATACGGGAGTGCTGTTAGTCCCACAGGAGAAGAACGTAAACAAAATCCTCCGTATTGCAGTGAAGAAATTCGGGAAGGTCTCTACGCTACGTCTTTGAGTACGACATGACCCGCTGGACTGACTTTCACCAGGGAGGCCGTGCAGAAATGTCTGATGATGAATGACGAGGGAAAGCAGCCGAAGCCGAAGCTGAAGAAACCCTTTTCTAATCACTAAATATTCATCGTTTTCTTTGTTTCCGTTTCAATAGACTGCGGATGGTACGAGTGTGAGTCGCCCCTAATCATTTCTCCCGGGAAAAGCCTCCCACATAAAGGAATGTGGGGGGGGAACGGCAATTAAAATGCTTTATGACGAGCACACGCGGCCCTTTGCCAGAATAAGACCTTGGGATGTCCTGGGTGTCTGTTTTTTAACACTTTAAAGAGAGACGTAGATCCTTAACGCCCAGAACCCTCTGCCGTGCGTCATTGTCACACGCTCGCTGCTCGCTGCTCCTTTAGCGTTGTTATTTTTTGTCATTTTCAGTTAATTGTGATTTTGTTTACTGACATCCTTGTCTCTGTCTCTGCCCCTGTCTCTTTGCCCTGGCCCTGGCCCTGGCCCTGGTCTTGTCCCTGTCCCTGCCTTTGTTTGCCTTTCTACTTTGTGTGTGAACCCTGTCACATATTATGCATACCCTTATGGAGGGGCATTTTGGTTTTAGCCAGACTTTTGCAATGCAGATACTGAACCATTTTTGAGCCTGATAAGTCGCTCAGTTCTTAAAGTTATATCTGTGTTTGATTATTCTACAAAGGGTGCCCAACCCATCGGCTTTTCTATAGCTACATATATCTTTTCTTTTTCGCCTTGTTTACTTTAATTTTCGTTCTGTTTCGTTTTGTTACTTTTTGCCTCCAACCGATTGAAGCATTCAATGCACCTTTTCTTCTCACATTTCCCGCTTTTCCGCTCGCTTTTGTTTCGCGTTTTCGCTTCTTTTTTGGTGGTTGGCGGTTGGGGGCCCAAAACTTTTTCATTTCGTTTTTTATCTGCTTGGCCTGCGCACAATTAAGCCGGCGAAATGCTTTGGCTACGTTAAGGGCTGACAAAGGCGACGACGAGCCTGACACTGAAAATACCCCAGAGAGGAGAATACCCTTTTTAATTTAAGCATATTTTCGCGGTAGCAACTCCTCGGAGGAGAGCCCAGGAGACTGAGCATACATTTATTTTCCTGCCGCCTTAAACGGCTTTGTCTGGCTTAATGAAAACAAATTTAATTTTTGGCCAGCAGGCAGGCAGCAGTGGCAGCAGAGCAGCCAGCGGTTCTAATAAATATTTATTGTGCTCTCCAATTTCCCATCTGCACTCACTCTATATCTCTCGCATTTCCCAGCCTGAGCCTGATCTGACACTGGCAGATACTCCCTGCTGCGGTTGACCCATCCGCTCCACTCACCGCCATGCCAAGCGAATGCAGCTCAGACCTGACACGGCCAGAACGGTTCAGGCCCGACCCATCCACGCCATAATTACGTCCAATTAACAGGCTTTGAATTGCTAACCAGACAAACTAATGGAATCGTTCGTTCGTTCTCATTGACCTAGCGTACTGAAGCGATGCTTTCGTTGGGCTTGGGATATCCCTTAATTTTTATTATCTAAGCTGCTTTGAAATGTTCCCAATATCCTTATTTCCTTCCTACCACTTTCTGGGTATATATTTCCTTAATTTAATAAGTATTAACATTAATATCTTTGATGGATACACTGCACTTCTGTGTAATCTGCAGTCTGTGGCAAAATCTCAGAAAAATCCCCTTCCCCTAATGAAGAGTTTTCCAAAATTCAGCGCTTCAGTTCCGTATAATCCCCATTAAAACGTGGCTCATCAGATATCGTTGTATCAAAGAAAACAACGCGACTCCTCTCTGGTTTGCAAAGTGGAAAGCTGCAAGCGAAAAGCATTGTGAAAAACATATTAAGAGTCATGGAAAAGTAAAAATCCAATACGATGCAGATGCAGTTGCAGTTGCAGATACCTACAGATGGAGATGAATTTCCACTGGCAATTGGTGTTGGTGCTGTGGCGAAAGCGCCTCATTGATTGCCTCTTTTTGTGGCCCGCTGAATTTCCATGTTTTCCTTTGTTCGCTTTGCTCGGAACAGTGTGAAATTCGATATGGCAGACAGTGTTTGAGCGCTTTATTGCGGTGGGTGCCCGCGGAAAGTGCGGTGCTGGCGCTGAAAGAGGCGGGGGGAAACCCAATGCGGGCAACAACACTGGGAAATGGCAGATGGAGAGGCAGAGGCAGGACAGAGCCAGTCCACAGAGTGTGCACTCGAATTGCGACCTGCGATCGTGTTTAATTTAATTTTCAGTCTGA